ACACACACAGATTTTCTTCAAATAATTATTTTTAATTTTTATTTTGTTTTTCAGATATTAAAATTTTTTTACATTTGTACATTGGACCTACCAATAAATGGACGTCGGGTTCGCGCTAAAAACTTGTAAAAATTACTGCAGTAAAGTGTGAAAACAGGATTCTGTATCATATTTTCACTAAACAAATATATTGTGTTATCATAGTTGTCATTTAAAAGTGTTATTTTGTACAGTTTTGTAGTATTTAATTTATGTATAACTGAATCGTGAATAAATAAAATAAAAAAGTAAATATAAATTACAAAAATACACGAAATAATGAAATAGCTAAGTATTCTTTTTTCTACTCATTGCAAGCGCAAAAGATGGAAAGAGACCCATTACGTCATTTTCAAGAAGCTTATATAAACTTCTTGGTCATTTTCAATTGTTCGAACCACAAGCGATTGAAATATTTACAATAAAGAAACTGTAGAGTTGCTTTGATTTTAATCCTATTTTTAAAATGATTTTTTTTATTAAACGTTAGCAATAACTAACAAAATATTGTTGTACTCGTTTTACGGCATGGGATTACGTATTAGAAGTCAGAAAATATATTTGCCCGAAATAACATTAGCTCGAATTTTCATAATGTGTTTTTGCGAAGATTACAAAACAAAAGCTAATTTTGTCTATTGTAAAAGCATCAAAATTACTCGAAAGCGTAATGGTTTTGTTATAAATCGGAATTACGGATATTTGAGTTTACGTTTAGTTAGAATATCGGTACATTTCTTATAGTACACGCTATTTTCACATTATACCTTTAAGCTAAATGTGGCGTATTTTGTTAAATATCCAGTAGAAGCTGAATATGGTGTTTTGGGCCCTTAAATTGCTGTAAGCAAATTTAGGCAGTACTGCAATGACGTTACAATTTAAATGAAATGTTTTAGTTTTTTATATTTCATTACATGTCACTATGTTTGTATAGGTTAACCTCGGACATTTTTTTCGTGGTTTTTGTATTGACCCGATGTCCATTTGTTGGAAGGTCAATGGATTTGTATAAAAAAATCAAAAAATCTTTAACATTCTTGTAAAGTCTACTTGGGAAGAGCGAGGTCTCCTGACACAGGTATTTATATAATTAAAAGAAGTATCCTTGCCACTAACCTGCTTTGTATTTTTTTTGTTAAAGAATAAACAAAAATTTTTTGTAATTAATCTTAAGTATACTAAATTTGTCATTCATAGGTAGCTTCTACATGAAGAGTTTATAATTTGAAAATACAAAAAGTGATGGAACTCACGTGAGCACAGATATTTCAGCGTCTGCAAGCTCTTTCACGATGGGTACTATGAGATCATGGTGAGTGAACAGCCTAACAAGTGGCTGCGCCGCATCCGTCTTACTCGACACTATTTCGCCTAATATATACACTGCCGACGCTGTTATTGGCTGAAAAAAAACAACACTGCATTTGATTAAATATACACATATCAAAATATTTACCTGTTATATGTGATTCATTTCCAATTTATATAATACTTTATGTAAATTAGGAAAAAGGAAATTGTTAATGTAACGCATTGAATGTTATGCATGAGTAATTAAATAATGTGAATACTATAGGCCAGGACAATACGAATGAAAAACAAATGGGTTGTCATTTGTAAACAATAAGTTCTATTGACATACCTTTTGATGGACACTCCTTAAAAATAGTTCCTCGAGCTGTCTGTAGTGCTGTATGGAGAATACATGATCAACTGTATACTGCAGTAGGAGTCGTAGCGAACCTAAGGTGGCGCTGCCAGCTGCTGAAAGCCGAGTGCCCGGGGGAGTCGCACCCCGGGACAGCGCTCCGCCTGCCCGTGACGTTAGGAAAAACCTATACAAATTAGTACCATTTGTTATTAGACTTTACACTACGCAACAGAATTTAATTACATGTTTATGATGGTTTTACTCACCAAGCACGCATAGGTTGTGGAGCAGATTGCCGAAGTTGTAGTCGCACTTCTCCCAAAAAGACGGGTGTGGCTGCATCGTGCCACACTGATATTCTCGCTTCACACGCTACGCCCGCCTGTAAGTGCAGTGGAACAATAAAATATGGGTCAGTTTCGTCAACATGAGTGCCTGCAGATTACTGTAAGAAAGATATTACACTTGTAAGTAAGTGAGTTTACCGTTTGCGAGCCGTCCTTATCCTTAGGGTCAGCTTCCATAACGAGATCGAAACAGAAAATTTCGTCAAATTGAGGATTAACAGTCTTCTTTCTTGGCTTCGTGCGCCTCTCCACTTTTCGTCCGTTTGAGTAAAGTAACGTGACGAGAGCAAACGGATCGCACTGTCCATTTTTTGTAGTCAGTTCTGAGCATTCAAGTACTCTGAGGCGTAACGTGTCGGGTCCAACACGCGCTGTACAATGTCTTTCAGGATCCGACCAGTAGTCTGCTGCGGTGGGTGTGGGTGACGTGTCGGATTCGGACATTGTCGTGTGCATAGAAGGTTTTGTCCTAGGTGCCCATTGTGCTCGATCTTTTAGGCTTTCTGAGCGTGACAACGCCAAGGTAGGTTCAGCACCCGTGCTCAGAAGTTTTTTGCTCGTTGAGCTGGAGCAAGAGCCGAACCTCATACTCTCCTTGCAATATTCGGACAATCTAACGAGATTATTAGCCTTCGTTTTTGTCGAGCATTGGTCAGCGGCCATGTCAGGATCAGGCGGCTTTGGCTCCATTCGTAGCCGTTTTCTTGAATCTTCAAGTGTAAGTTCAATGTATGCCTTGCCTTGCACCTCTGAATCGGCATCCACGGGCCGCAACGCGAACCAGTGGTCCTTATTGTTGTACCGGTGGAGATCTTCTCGTTTGATTGCAACCTTTCCAAGCACCTTGTCTTGTTTGAGGTGTTTGTCACGATCGAACACGTATATGGACAGGTATCGAAATCTTCGAGGCACCTCGAACTGGAACTCTTCGCCAAAGAATGGACTGAAACAAAGTTTGATCTTTACAAAGTTTGCTTAGACCACGAGCACAAATAGTGAATGTACCCACTACGATAGTGTCAACTGTCATGTTATCAGAAACATTCATTTGTGTTTATTACTATTGTAAATTAAACAGTTCTTATCATATCAACTTTCGACTTCTGAGACAGCTTATTGTAGCGTTCTAGCAATCTCGTTGTTAAAATAGAGGTAATTAGAATCATTATTCTTTCTACAATAATCTTAAATCCAATAGTAATTAAGATTATTTTCAAAAGTAAATAAATATAAGCGGCAAAAGATCATATCTGTGAAATCGACGTTTAATTAAAGATAAAATGTGTTTTTTTTTATTTCCTTGTTTACCAAAAAATGTTGTTCGAGGCGCAATATTTTTTTTATGATACCAAGTGATAGAAATCGTGCGCCTGATGGTAAGCAACACGCCTGTCCATAACAGTTGCAGTGCTACTCAGAGTTTTAAAATACAATGATCAGAGGGGCACTGCCACTGCATCCGTCACCCTGAGACATAGGTTGGTAAGTCTCATGTGCATGTAGTTTCACCAACACGCTTACCCTTCACAACCGGAACGCAGTAATGTTCATATTACTGGTTGGCGGTAGAAATAGGTAAAGTGGCAGTACTTCCCAGGACGATATCTTTCACAAGGAGCTCTACCGCTATTAAATTGCACTATATGAGGGTCCGCAGCAAAAGAATGGTCCATAAATAAATTACGATGCGTTTAATCTAAACAAACACATTGAAATGTGAGCAAGAAACGTTAAGAGACAAGCAAACGAAAAATTGATTATTCTTTATCTTTAGAGCTTATGGGAATATTATGCGAAAACTGTAATAATAATTAATAGTAGATTCGTGAACGTCAGTGGTCCAGCGATGCGTCCGATAAGAGGACCGATACGCGAGGTTCATGCGTGGGCCGCTTGCTCAATCCGGTGAAAGTATTTACACGCCTCGTAAGAAGATGCCTTGCAATAATATTTGATTAGCTGCGACACTAACGTATAGCTTCGGTCACTGGTCAGTCCTAATAATCAATTATGATTGCTTTATACAGGAAAATAATAATAATTGTAAGATTGAGGAAAATAGGAAAATGGTTTGTAGATGACTTGGTTTGCCAAAAATTCAATAGTAAACAAGTGTGTTTTAAGGCTCGAAGGGTGTTTTTTTCATTTTCATTGAAATTCCAAATTAGATTGAATGTATATATATATATACTGTATATATATTTGCTATATGTAAATTGTTTGGATAGGAAAGACTGGTAAAATATGTATCAACCAAAAAAATTTACAACCATGGAATAATTAATGCGTGATACATTGTTTATCTCAGTTAGTCACCGGGTGTGACAAGATTTTCCTTCCTGGTATGACGATATTATGTTTATTTAGCTATTAGTAGGTAGATTTTTTGAGGCATGTAATGGAAAATTAGTGCATTGATCAGTGTCGAGAAATGTAATTGATAAAGTGCAAGATTAAACGTCTCTACATTTTACGTAAGGATCTAATTTTGGAAAAGTATTTTTTATAATATAGCAGCGCTTTTACCATGATGTATAATGTACGTATAACGCATTATGCCATTTATAATTTTGAATCATTGTTAAATAATCAGTCTGTCCGTTCTGTGTACCGTTTAGGTTCTCGGGGTTTTCTCAGAGAAAATTTTAAGGAGACTGGTATGTGTGTGTGGCATCGCAGTACATTTACTCAAATATTTTCTAAAAATATAAATAATTTCATTACGAAAGATAGATATATTCATAATATTAGCCTTAGAACTAAGTCCAAACTCATGGTACCACGATTTCATTTAACTAAGGTAAACGATTCTTTTATGGGGAACTGTCATTGACTTACAATAAGTCAATGGGAACTGTATACGTTTTTACAATAACATTCCGGAGAATATATTAAGATTATCATTTCCTAAATTTAAAACTTACATTAAAAGTATTTTAATTGAAAAGACATATTACAAAATTGAAGAGCATGTTTTAGATAAAGAAGTATGGAAAGACAATAAGAGTCTAGATTCCACACAATTAAGATCCAAAGTGTATTATTCCATAGCATTTAAGCTTATTTGAAAAGAGCAATCCCTAGTTTCTTGCTCGTTCTTCTCAGGGAGGTCAGCGTAGTGAACGAGCAGTAGCTTAAAAAGTCGCTTCAAAAAATGACGTTTTCAAGTGTAAAAATTTTACCTATGGAATAAATGATTATTTGAGTTTGACTTTGCCGTGATCAAGAAACTTATTAAGGGTCTGAAACGTTGGTTTGTTTGAAAAAACAAATATATGCGATTCAGATCTGGAAAAAAATTGTTTCATTACCTAAGTATTACATAAATTAGAAAATCTATTTGTTATGTCTTATTTATAATTATTATATTTCGTCATGTACTTTAGTGTATTTACTCTACTGGCATCTACGCTTAAGCTTGAGTCAATAAATCTATCCATATATCTAGTTCTTATGTTTGCCAATAGCACGGATGGTGACAAAGATCCAGATTCGCAATTTGTTGAACCAAATTTCAATATGCCGTTGTCGAATCGCTTTGAGGATGAAGTCGCGATAATGGCTCAATAAACGTGGGTACATCAAAAGGCGTTTGAGTTACGTCGTGTAAGTGGTGGAGCAGCGGGCGGTGAGCGGTGGCCGGCGAGCACATCCGGCGCCGACCCCGAGTACATCGGTATTTATAACTGCTGGCGGAACCACCGGCCACATCGTCCACCGCACACCACGCATTATTCATCCATTACGTCGCCCTCACGCAACACAATCTTAAAGTAACAGTCAATAAAAAAATATATACCTCTTTTAATATATTTAGTATTGTTGCGTAGCGTTAATTCATCTCGGTACTCCGCTACTTCAGCAACTAATAAGTTGTTTCTAGTAATTACCCGTAGATAGCCTCAATATACATGTAACACATACGCGGTAAAGTTGATGAAATTCCTATGCCTCTGTAAAACGGTAACAAAATGTAAACTACTAAAACGAGATTCATTCGAGCCGCGTAAGTCGGACATAACTGGAGCAACCACACCTACACAGCTCAATCGGTAACATAGCACAGCATCGGTACGAAATAGATCACAATACAAGAAACCAGAGCAATGCACTTAAGATCGACTGCGCTGGCCCAAGCGATGATCATTTTACGCGCCACGAGGTTCCGGGACCAATTTATCACTTAAAAGCTTCCGTTTAATGCAGCAGCACTATACGGGATTATGGACTTGTTTTTTATGATGTTCTCAACCTCGAAATCGCTCCTGGAAGTGACTTCATGCGCCTACTTTCTTTACGTAGCTGTTTCTCGTTACTATCCTCGGAAACATTTTGATTGTAAGCACGTGTTAGCTTCAGCATTATTCGAACGCTTGTGTGTACATTTACTCATCTCGTTTCCCGTCTAGATATTAGGTTATCTTGCTTCGTTTACAATCGTATATTTAGGTCCAACGTACCAAGTCGGGTCTAATTCGGGCTTATACGTCGTTATCCATTTTCGTATTTTTATTGACGATTTCTATACAAATTGAACATTTATTAAATGAGTCAGCTTTCCAGAGCAAGTAAATCTCGAGTTAGAGCAAGACGTTTGTACATTAGCGCTTAAGCAATAAGTAATAAGTGCATTGATAAGGTATCGCGAGACAAAGAACTCATTAAGTAAACTCGAGTGACGTGACGTTTCCTTCGATATCCGAGTAGAGGCTCACCTCTCGGGTCACTAAATCATTATCGTGCTTCCGTTCTTCGACAAACAATACGCCCCGTCGCAAAACACGTAAAGTAAATAACTACTCTATCTCAAATTGGATTTGTAATAAAAATAACCAGTACCTATTCCATACGTACTAAATAAAATTGTCGGAAATAAAGATTCAATTGTTATGCTTCTATGTTATCCGTTAAGGAAAACCTTAAGTTTCTCAATTGGCGACCATTTCTTGTTTGAATAGGTAAGTAATAATTGTGGTAGTTTCCGGTCTGTTTTCCCATAACTAATCCGGGGAGCGAGTGGCGGCGTAGAAATAAGCTCGCACTCGGTACTGTGAATGAATCAAGTCAAATTCTGTATACATTATATTATAACGTTGAACGTTAATCCATTATATATGATAACTTCCTTAGACGCTTTTGTAACCAATCAGGAAGATTTTCAAATGCTTATTATAAGAATACACAACACCATGTATACGAGAAATAACATAGTATCACTTTAGTAAGTAGGTATGATAACTACTAAACCAGTAGTTCTTTAATTAAGTTAATTATAGTGGGCGTTGTTGCGTCTACGGCGGTCTCATTCGTTCCCGAAACTGAATGGCGAGGGGGTGGGGCGGAAGGGACGTTCCGCGCAGGCGCGCGCGCCGGAAACGCATCCGGGACGCGGCGACGACGGCGCGCGGATGCCGCCCTCCCTTAGCTCAATGCACCCCAACTCGCTACAATGATCAATTCAGTTATCAATACTATCTGAGTTAAACACTTACAATACATTAAGAAGTTTAATTATTAAAAGAACTTTCAATTACCATAAGAACTTTATCGTAAAACAATAGTAAATAAAAAGCACCAATAAGAGCGTTTAAAATTTATTGTCGCGGCGTGTCAAATTATTGTTACAAAATACACTTTTACCAAATTACTTTCTTGTGAGTTCACTTTGAACGACATTCCTCGCAACTGAATGGCTATTTACCCTAATCGAACATGGCCTTACGACGGGACGGCGCTGCGTAGTACACGTGAAAGCACCGGAAGCAATATCTTTACATGAATACCGTGTGCTCGGCTCGTGCCGACACATTAATAAACGCTTCGAAGAAAGTCACTAGCACACCGAACAATATCGCGCAGTGCGCACTTTGTTGATGAATTTCGAGAATCCAACACGTGGGCTCTAGTTGCAAAATAGTCTTCCCGATGTTATGAGCCGGCAGAAAATATTGATTGACATAAAACTGTAACAACTATATTTTTGCCAATCGATAGCAAAGTCAAATTTTATTAATAAAGTTAATAGTACTTTATATATAGCACATGTATTAATTGAGCGCAATAATTCATTGATAGGAATTGATGAATGGTCTGTAAAAGGAATTAATGAATGTAATCGATAAAACATTAACGAAAGCAGGTATTGAGTGCATCGTCCGGCTACTCCGAGTAGGTAGGTAGGTACTGTATTGATCGATAAGCGCCACGCACCACTGTCGGCAGACAGTTTCCCGTTCGCAAGCAACGAGTTTAATGAAAAACATACACGAAATAACTGAATATACTAGTGGCACGTGAAATTAATAATTCCTAATTCAACCAGTAGCGTCCAGTCAATGACGCGCCAGCCAAACCTTGACCTAGTAAATGCGTTTGCCCTCCCCAAACATTGACGAGAATTCCCACAAGATAACACCGGAAGTGGGGCCGGACACCGGACAAACGATTCGTTATTGTGTCAAATTTCGAGTAACGTCAAAAAAGTGCTCGCAGTAACGAGGGGTTGCGCAGGAAAGAGGAAACACAAAAATAGTATCGACATGCAAGTCAAGGACGTGTTTTATAGATGTGTGAATAGAAGAAATACTACATAGACTAATGTGTATTTAACTGATGTGAACATTTTAGACGTCTCTATTACGAAGCTATTACAGTTAATGACTAAATTACCTAGTATGAGAAATCGAGTTTTCTAAAAATTAGTATACACCACAGAGGAATCATTGTAGCGACAACCGACTATTTGTGGAGTACTTACAAATTCTCAAATGGAGATAAGCTACTTTCTAAATGTTAAATTTGGTATGAGACCAATAAATATAAAAAAAAATATTTTGTAGAAATATATTTTTAGAAGATTGATACTTTGATTGGTACTTAAGTTCTATTTTTTACAGGGTCAAGAGGCCGTTAAGCGTGAATATTTAAATTCAGCATAGAGTTGAATTTCAATCTTCAAGCTGCTTGAGATAAGAACGGCCCAAAGAACTTGATGTGCTCTTGATTGTACAATAGTAAATAATAGGCTATTGCCATCGTTCTACGTACGTGAATCTCTACATGTGTAATTGGCTTCGGCATGTTTTCTTAAATTAATACAACAGAGGTAGAGTGTATACCTACAGACAACATTGTGATAGCGACAATCAGAGTAATGGCTCTTATAGAGGTACCTCTGGAAAAACTACTATGCTACTATGGAAACTCGTTCAGGTCAAGCTATTTGTCGACCCGCACCACGCTGTAATGAGTACATTGATGAGGTACATGTGCCAAATAATTATCGCAGCGGTAATAATAGTGCTTAAAAGTACCACTGAAATTTCAAAGTATCGAAAATCGGATGATTCATATGTTTGATGGTTCTTGATTTGCCTTTTTCTGCGCCCGAAACTTCAAACGTACTTTTTCAAATTTAAAGATCCTATATAGTTATACCAAACTTTACATTTTTTTCATCTATGAAAATCGTTTGTATCAAAAAAAATATCAAATGACTGATGGGAATAGAAAAAGTAGAATAATTATGTTCCGTAGCAAGCAGACACCGTGTTATCCACCCAACCTACCAGAAGAGCAGCGTGATATTTATGTATGTAAAAACGTTCACCTGCCGTTTTATTTTAAATTTTATATTGCTTACAAGATTATCTTTTCAGAAATAATTTTGCCGGACAATCACTCCAACAACTTGGGATCTGTACACCGTACTAAAACAATAAAATTAACCAGACCAAAACCAATTTAGAAAAGTTCGTTTTCCAAATTGCTACCAATTTAGGAAACGGACTACCACAAATTGATTCAGAGATCTCCTCATCGAGCGTCATAACTTGTTCTATAGATTATTACAGGTTAATTGTAATATGTTTCGTGTATGCTAATAATGTTCTAAGATGAAAGATGTAAAGGCTCTCGAGCCAACATAGCTTTTCCCCCCGTGTTATTTATTGAATTAATGCTTAAAATAATAAGTGTCTTACTCCAGTACTGTAATAGATTGACGAAACAGGCAGGTATAGTAATTAAAACTAGCTTACTTGAGCGTTCTCTCCATGGTGGACGTGCGAAAAATCTCCTCCTGGTCCAGCGACAGCACGCAGTAGATGTCGCGACAGCTTGCCGCTCCATGGCTGCGACCGGGTAAGTTCTTTGCTTCTCCTGTAACAAACAGTAACCTGGTCATACCAAAAATCGAGATGTTATTGCTTGGGTTTAAATTGGTTTAAAAGCGCGTCCATGTATTTTAAATGGTGTTATTACTAGCTCGTATATAATATGTATAAGATGGGCAAAATTAGCAGCGAAAAAATAGCTTGTCAATTGCAACAATTCAATATCTACTTAAAGTACTATTATCTGGTACACATTTCAATAACCAAATACCAACTTTGTTTAAAACAAATGTGTACAAGAAGAAAAAAGTGAGAAGCTCTAAGTTAACGCTCTAACGGGTAATTCTCGCGGAAATGCATCTAAATTATAAATAGAAAAAATTCTTTGTACGAAACAACAAAACTGTACAATTAGGCGAAGTTTGCAAAAATAAATTGACAACGCATTACTTCTTTAACAATCTCAATGACAACAATCTAAATGTTATTGTCGCTCGCAGAAACTTGAATGTAATCTTGTCTACTGATCTGTCAGTAATAAAGAGCTGGGGCCTTACCATGAACTCTTATTACAGTTCAGTATAGGTTGGTAACGAGAAAAAAGCGGGATAGTGATATATAATTCATGTAGAGCCGTCTCACAACGATTCATTTTAGGTCCTAAACTGAATCGTAATAGGAGTTCATGGTAAGGCCCCAGTACAATGAACTTAATCATAAACTAACTCGTCTCAACGATTTAAGATCATCTGACATTTGAATAAATATAGATGTGCAAATTTGCTTGCTTAGAAAATTTAATTGCCATGGATGATTCTATATTCGCGTAACTGGTGGACTAGTATAAAAAGGGCATAAATATAAAGTATTGAAGTGGACGATGTGGACTGTATGAGAATGGAGTGAAGAAGGCGACAAGATGACCACAAATATGTGAGAAATGCAAAAGCAAATACATATAATTTACGACACACATTCCACTGACAATCGCATCAAAAGTAATACGAAACAAAAACAGCAAAAGTATTAAAACAGAATATAAAACGCAAGGAGTTTGGGACGTGTATAAAAAAATTATGTAAAAATTTTTAAAAACAAAATGGTTTAATATTAGTATGCGATTGACAATGTACGTATAATGTAAGTAACTTGAAATCTGTGTAACTAAAACCAAATCAACAATGAATCTAACCATAAAATGAAAGCCAATGATCCGTAACCTCAGCATAACGTTAATCAGAAGTCACAGTACTCGGTGACATGATTATGACATGACATTGGGCGGTCAATCCTGAGCACCTAACGACGTCTCCAATTACATGGACTATTGGATTGCCTCGCCTTTCCCATGGCGTTGGCGTCACCAGTCGTCTATTTAAACAAAGCTATAATCATCTACATAGTAAAGTTTGTATAAAAAGTAACTATGTTTAAGAAAAAATCAGAGCAGTAAATATGATTGTTTAAAGCGTGTGTGTGTTTCAACTATCACGTGTCAGAGTCGTTATTGAAACACTGACACCGCTACCTGTTTCATTCACACCATATCTTAGGTCATCAACGTGTAACATGATACTATTTCCATGAATTACAGAAGTATTCTTATGAGTCTATGTCTTGTAGCTTACGAATTGTTGGCCTTGAATTTGCATTACAGAGGACTTTTAAATATTACATTTTATTGTGGTAGTAAAGGCAGCTGCGTTTGAAGGTAACACGCGATACAAGTAGTAAAATAATTGGCATTACCGTATGTAATGCAGGCACTCATTAAGACAGTCGTTATCGCAACTTTGAATTAAGGACCGAAATAATGATCTTAAAAAGGAAGGGTCGTTGGTTGCGCAAGAGTGGCGACCTCGTCGGATATCGCTTTATAAGGAGAGCCAAGGTGAGGCGACCAACGATATAAGTAACTCCTGCAGCTTCGCACTATGTGACTTGCCTGGCGCCTTTTTTATATGTACTTTGATTTCTACAAGGATTTCCATCAATGAAAGTAAAAAAGATAATGAGTTTTTGGGCTTCCGTTATAAGTGTTTTTATACATTCACGGAAGCAGTTAGTTTCCTTTTTTAAAGACTGTGTAATAAATTAACAATGAATTGTTTCAATCGTGCAAAAACGCAGCACCCATATGATGCAAATGATTAACGATCATCATTAGTGTTGCAGTCTTTCATCGCCTCTGCATTTCACATAATACACAAACCGCAAACTCGATAAAACAATTACGTTCTCACATTTTTCTTGCAACACATTTGTTACAAAGTTGCATAGTTGGAATATAATAAAAATGGAAAGAGTGCGTTAATTCCATCTCAATAAGAGTATAGAGTAATCGTGTACCGGATAATGCCATTTAAAGTAGAGTCCTAGAGTATGAGATAGAGATATCTTACATACACACATTAAAAGTGCCAATGGATGAATGGATCAAGGTATTTTTTGAAATATTTGATTAAACCTACTAAAATGAAATTAAGATATCTATATAAATTTATTAAGCTACTTATTTAATTTTAAATTATGAAATTTACCAAAAAAATCCTTGATGTTAAAAATACTAATTAAATAACCAGATTTTAAGGAATTGGCAAAAACGTGTTTCATCCCTACACACTTTGGATGTGTGTACATATGCTTAATGTCATAATGAACACAAGCCTACTTCACTGAATAAAGAATAACGTATTTATACTTTAAATGAAACTGGTGATTAACGACGAAATGGTGTAAATAAACGAGATGAATTAAAAATTTAGATACCTCTAACTTACGCCTACGTCAAATACTTTTATGACTATCGTGTACGACCGGCAATTACCTAGTGCATCATGGTAACATAACTGACACGTGATGCGTCATATAGTTCGCTCTATATAGATGACGTAACATTGACCACTGTTATTAATAGTGAATTGTGTTTTGAAATCTACTTCCTGGTGTAAGGAATCGCATAGGTAAAATAATAACCGTGACCGATAGCCCATTATATGCTGTACGTGCACCCGGGGCAGGTCACCCAAGGCACTAGTCTTTTGAGAACCGGATCAAGTCCGTTGTAAACGGGTTGATCTGGGGTCAGGTCCTGACTGAGAAGGTCCCTGTGCGGGCTTGCTAGCACAGGTTAAAGTGCCCTTCCCGCATAACCAAGATGTTGATAGGAAGGGTAACTATAAACAAAACTTATGTAGAAAGATATGGAGCCCATTCATTATATGTACATTTATATCAATTTACGATCAAACGTACGAATTTACCTGCTACATGTACAGCAAGTGGTTTCGAAATGTTAGCAAATACAGTATCAAGATCATCACGCAATCACATTACGACATGAAAAACCCAAAAACTTTCTTTAAAAAAAATCCATGTTAAATGGCTTATTATAGCGTGTGTAATTTAATAACTGATATGTAGATTTTATTGCGACAGTTAGGGCAGCTAAACAAAGGAAAAAACCTTCTAACGGCACCGTGCTCCCACAAATTCGTCGTAATTGGGCTGCGGGAGAAACTTGCAACAAACTGTACATAATTGCTGATGCAAAAACAACCGTCATCATCATCAACGTGACAGTAACACACGCCATCAAACTGGATCGTGGGAGAGAAACGGGAACTTCTGAATAATAGAATACCATCAGCCACTGAGGAAACGCACGTACTCGCTATTTAGTTACAATAGCGATCATTAAGATGTTTCCACACTCGCGCAGTGCGTGTAGCGATTGTTTCGAAATCGAGAGTACAAAAGTATGTTTGAAATATCTGAAACATGGGAACTGTTTGAGGTTTTATCCATGAGTAGCTAGCTACATTTTATGGTTGTTTCTTAACTTAGAAACACGCTGTTATTTCGGTACTCAGTAGGCTGTTGACACGAGATTAAGCAATCACACATTTACAAGATGAAATCACACATTTACATGATTTTTTAAGTTTCTGTTTATACTTCTTAGAGCGCTAAACCAATCGCAGTTTTGTCATCGATGACATGCAAGATGTCGCTGCATCTGGCAAAGACGATACAAACCGCCAATAATGTGATTATTGGCGGTTTGTATTGTCTGTATAGTCTAGTCGAGCTTTGCCCCACTCTAATAACTATTAAGAACTGTGGTACTCTCGATTGCTCATTCGTGAGGCATCATTACCACAACAGTACGCAGGAAGCGCTAAATTCCCGGACTTACGCAACGCGACCCTTTTTTCTCGCAATTCCCGGGAAGTAACAGCTCATGCAATTATTTAATTCTCTGTATGCGATGGTACCTTGCTGTGTTAGAAATAGTATAACGTATAAAGTTTTTTTACAGAAACTTCTTGCGCATAAATCTTTGCTTGTTATAATAATATTATTTAAAAAGACATTAAATATATCTACAAAACAAGCTCATCGGATTTTTTTCCCAAATCTATTTATTATATTTCAGTTAATTAATAGCTACGAATAACATTTATTTAATAACTAGCTCACAATCCATAGGTGGATTTAAAAACTAATTGCTTCAAAATTATAGTATAGTCGATTACTTTTTATAAGGTAATAAACAAAGGTCAGAATGAATTTTTAACCTGGAACGCGTTTGCTTTTGCGACTAATATAAATGCAAGTTCTCGTTGGCACAACCTCCGTAGTCAGTCTTCCAGAAGAGCTTTATCTAAGTAGTCACCCACGTTAGTACGTTCTAGTCATTTCGCAAGTGGGTAGAGTTGTGAAAGCCAGACTCGATTTTTGCAAAAAGACGCAGAGCACGACGACAATTTTTCAATATTATCCAGTTAGCGTTCACCGAGTTTGTCCGTGGTAGTAACGACTTGGCCGTAGTTTTTCTCGCGAAAGCGTGGCCCTTCATGTTTGCTGTGTTGGCGCCATTTCGTATAGAAAGTGTATATTGCCCGTTGTTGACAAAGCTTTCTCAGGTCGTGATAGTTTCGCGCACAATGGTAGGTAGACGCAGGCGCCGAGCGTTGGAGGTGGCGGCCCACAATGATGGATTACAATCTCACGCACGCACAGGTTTCGAATACCGAACTCGCCTACTTTACACGTATACTGCGCTTTA